AGGGGGCGGAGCTGAGGTTAGTGGCGGCGGAGGGATCATCCCGGGGCGGGGGGGCCGGTTCCTGCCGCCTGGGCCTGGAGTGAGGCCTGGGCCTGGAGTGGGGCCTAGGCCCGGAGTGAGGCCTGGGCCTAGAGTGGGGCCTGGGCCTGGAGTGAGGGCCTAGGCCCGGAGTGAGGCCTAGGCCTGGGCCTGGAGTGAGGACTAGGCCCGGAGCGAGGCCTAGGCCTGGGCCTAGAGTGGAGCCTGGGCCTGGAGTGAACCCTAGGCCCGTTCTTGAGGCGACGGGTCGGTTCTCGCTGAGCTCCCCCTCTCCTCCGCCCCCCCGGTGCCCCTCCTAGCCGTGGGGCTCACCAGAGAAGCCCTTTGCCATCCCTGCCACCGGGTCCCCCACCGGGCCCAGTGGGTGCGTTGCTGGAGAAAGGCCTGTCCCGCCATCACGTACCCCGGGGCTGCTCCTCGGCCACACGACGCCCTGGATCCGGCTCATTTTTGCCTCCCTATCCGGTAAGAGAAGCTCCTTCGGTCTCTTCTGGTTGCTCTGTGCTGTTTTAGCCCTTTCCCATTGGTGGAGTGAGCGCCCCCCCCAAAAACCAGGGCTCCGGTCTCTCCTCAGCGGCCCAAATTCCCTGGGGATGGCTCCTGAGGGTCCTCGGATGATCAAGGGATGAACCTCCTCTTCCTCACCCAGCCCCGGGGAGGCAGCCGGGGGCTCTGGGTGCTGGTAGGAGTCCCTGGGGGGGTCCCATGGCCGTGGTGGGTGGCATCTCTGCCAGTGGTGGGTCACAGCACCCATTGAATCTGTTGAAGGGGGGGGAATTTTTAGGAATCAGCTGGAATGTGGCTCCAGTGGGTGAGGGGGGCTGGGAGTGGGGGCACCCTTCCCTCTTGGGCCCCCTCCCACTCCCTGTGAGCCATGGGAGTGGGTCTGTGTCGGCCCCACCGTCACCCGGTGCCCTGGGAGAGGGACAGATGTTGGGTTAGATCCGAGCTTGGGAATTAATTCCTTCCTGGAAAGGGTTGGGAAGCCTTGGGAGAGGCTGCCCAGGGCAGTGGTGGAGCCTGGAGAAAAGGAGGCTGAGGAGAGACCTTCTGTCTCTCTCCAACTCCCTGAAAGGAGGGTGTAGCCAGGGGGGGTCGGTCTCTTCTCCCAAGGAGCAGGCCATGGGACAAGAGGAAACGGCCTCAAGTTGATCCAGGGGAAGTTTAGGAGGGAGATTGGGAAGAATTTCCTCCTGGAAAGGGCTGTGAAGCCTTGGCAGAGGCTGCCCAGGGCAGTGGTGGAGTCGCCATCCCTGGAGGGATTTTGGAGCCGGGCAGAGGTGGTGCTGAGGGACATGAGTCAGTGGTGGGTTTGTCAGTGGTGGGTTGATGGTTGGATTCCACCATCTGAAAGGTCCCTTCCAACCTCCACCATTCCATGGTTCCGGTGTCCCCTTGCTCCAGAAGCACAAGAAATGAGGAGTGGAAGGAGCTGAGGAGGAACTTCTTCCCTGGGAGGGTGGCAGAGCCCTGGCAGAGGCTGCCCAGGGAGGTGGTGGAGTCTCCTTCTCTGGAGACATTCCAACCCCCCCTGGACACGTTCCTGTGGGACCTGCTCTGGGTGGCCCTGCTCTGGCAGGGGGTGGGACTAGATGATCTCCAGAGGTCCCTTCCAACCCCATGGGATTCTGTGGTTCTGTCAGGAAGAACATGGAGAACCTCCAGGGAGGTCATCCTGCCCCTCTGCTCTGCCCTGGGGAGGCCCCAGCTGGAGCACTGGGACCAGTTCTGGGCTCCCCAGTTCCAGAAGGACAGGGAACTGCTGGAGAGGGGACAGCAGAGGGCTATGAAGATGCTGAGGGACTGGAGCATCTCTCTGCTGAGGAAAGGCTGAGGGACTTGGGGCTTTTTAGTCTGGAGAAGAGAAGGCTGAGGGGGGATCTGATCAACGCCTATAAATACTTCAAGGGTGGGTGTCAGGAGGATGGGGCCAGGCTTTTTCCAGTGGTGCCCAGGGACAGGACAAGAGGAAATGGGCACAAACTTGACTCTAAGAAGTTCCACCTCAACATGAGGAGGAACTTCTTCCCTGTGGGGGTGGCAGAGGCTGCCCAGGGAGGTGGTGGAGTCTCCTTCTCTGGAGACATTCCAACCCCACCTGGACACGTTCCTGTGGGACCTGCTCTGGGTGGACTCCGTGGTTTGAAAGATCCCTTCTGAGCTCCACCATCCACCGAGGTGGGACGTTGCCTCTTCCCCTTGGCCTCTCCGGTGGTGGCAGCTTTCTGTGCCGTGCGCCTTTAACGAGCGCGGCCTCTAACGAGCGCGGTGACGTGGGGTGGCCCAGGGCCAGGAAGGGGAACCGTCCGTCTCCCGCCGAAGAGAGAAGCCCAACAACAACTTTTTTTTCTTTTGTGCGTGGCCTCCTGGCTTCCCCCCCCCTTCCCCCCTCCCCAAAAAAACCCCCCCCCTGCC